ACACTTGCTCATGCACTTATTCCTGCTTTTCCCAAGACCCCAGCTGGGACCTTCCCTCCCCTGGACATCCTCCCTTAGGCTCCAGTGTCCATCAGATGCCTGTCCTCTCGGGGTTCTTCACCATCTGCGTCTCCCTGCTCTGTTGTACTGTAGACAAGCCTGTGTCCACAACCTTTCTGAAACTGCTTCCTTCAGCCTTGTACAAAGATAATGCTCAATAAATACTTGTTGAGAGGAAGGGAGTTTAAGTATGCTTTATTGGATGTCCAAATGATGGATTTACTCTATGTCAGTTGGTCTCTTGGTACGGAAACAGTAATGTGTAATTACTAATTTGTCTTAATAATAAAAACCCCGGAATCAGATGCTGTGGTAAATGCTGAAAGATCTGAGAAGTAAAGAAGTAGCCAACCTCACCTCTTACCTCCATGACTCCTCAGACAAAAAAAAAGGGGGGGGGGCAAGCTCCTGTCTCTGCCTGCCTTATCCCTCTCTTCATCCAGCCATATCACTTCCTGTCTCCTGTCTATACAGACCTCCAGACCTCTGTGGTTAACTAATGGTAGCTCCACCCTCTGATCTTCAGACAAGCTTTATTTGTTAAGAGCACAAACAAAATATCACCACAGTAATGGCCTTAAAAATAGGAGTAACAATGAAATAATCTTATTACTACACAGCTCATACTTGTTTTAAAATGTGCTTTTATGTTTAATTGACATAGTAATTTTATATAATTATGTGATAGACTGTGGCATTTTAATATCATGTATTTAATGTGTAATCAACAGATTAGGGCAATTGGCATAGCCATTACCCCAGACATTTATTATTTCTTTATGCTGGGACCATCCATAATCCTATATACTAGCTATTGAGGAATCTGGTTTTTGCTAACCTCAGTTATCCCGCTGTGCTGAAGGACATTAGACATTGTTCCTCCTTTACAGGGACACTGTGTACCCCTTAACCTCTGCTTCCCCACACAATTTCCAGGCTCTGGTAACTCTTTAGCTTCCATGTGTAAGTGAGAACACATGGAATTTGTCTTTCTGTGCTTAGAGCAATTAATGTTCATTGAATGCTCAGTGTGTGCCAGCCACTCTTCTGGAGCTTTAGTTCATTTTTACAGTAACCATAGGAGCAAGAAGGTTCTAGTTTCCTTTTGTGAAAATGGAGAAATGGAATTACAGGACAGTTGAGGGATGCACCTGATTTTATACAACTAGTAAGCCATGGTATCAGCTTGAATCCAAGGTCTGTGGTGTAGCATGATTTATCCCTTTGTAGTAACAAGTGAGACTTACTCTGAGATGTCCATAGGGAAGAGGAGTGTGAGTCACCAGGTGGAAGATGCATTGTGGTCACAAGGTATGGGGCCATTCAGGAGAAGAATCCATGATGGAAAACTCTGAATAGCATCTCTTCTACTTGTTCAGCCTTTTTCAGCCCAATAACTCAGTTCTCAGGGATGGTATTGCCTAGTTTCCAACATCGCGAGACTTCCCTGATTCTGAAATCTTAGCTGTGTGTGTGGTTTGGGCGTTGCTTGCCTTCTCTGTGTCTCTGTAATTGGCCCCCATAATCTCTTAGGGAGTGGTACTATTAGGAGGTGTGGCTTTGTTGGAGTAGGTAGGGCTTTCTTAGAGGAAGTGTGTCACTGTGGGGGTGGGCTTTGAGGTTTCCTATGCTCAGGATACTGTCCAGTGTCTCAGTCAACTTCCTGTTGTTGTTGCCTGCAAGACGTAGGACTCTCAGCTCCTCCAGCACATGTCTGCCTGCATGTCACCATGTCCCACTATAATTCTGGACTGAACCTCCAAAACTGTAAGCAAGCCCCCTCAATTAAATGTTTTCCTTAGAAGAGTTGTCATGGTCATGGTGTCTCTTCACAGCAATAAAAACCCTAAGACAGCCAGATTCCTCACCTAGGAAGTACAATGATAGCACTCTCCACATAAAGTTTGCACAGTGATTGAATGGGAGAGACTCACATGTGAGTAGCTCAGAACTGTATTTCCTATCACCCCTATAACTGTTTCTTTTTAATTTTTCCCATCTGTTTGTTTGTTTAGCTTTTTAAATTTTATTTTAATTAGTTAGGTACTTTCCACCCCCAGACTCGGTGGTCTCACTGTCAGCACTGGGTGGCCTAGAACTCATTGTTCAAATCAGGGTGGCCTCAATCTCATATACATTCACCTACCTGGTGTTGAAGGTATGTGTATTATGCCTCATCTAATATGTTCTACTTTAGTTGTGTGTGTGTGTGTGTCTGTGTCTGTGTGTGTGTGTGTGTGCGCGCACGTGCAGAGTACCTCAGCAATGTACATTTCTTATGTAGTTTCCTGAGTTGTTGTTTCTTTGTTTGCTTGTGTGTTTTTTAGTGTTTTGGGTGTTTTATCTGTGGGTATGGCTGTGCAACAAGAGAGTGCCTGGTGTCCACAGAGGTCAGAAGAGTGCATTGGATCCCCTGGGACTAGTGTTACAGACAGTCATGAGCTGCCATGTGGGTGCTTGGAATTGAATCCTAGTCCTCTGGAAGAGTGGTCTGTGTTCTTGATTACTGAGCCATTTCTCCTGCCCCTATTATTACTTCTTCATCTCTCATTCAGTCATCAAATGGTTTTTGAACTCAGCTCCTTCCTACATGTTATGCCCCTGGATGCCACTTCTCGGGCACAGATGAAATCTACTGGGTTAGTTCATCATTCAAATGTGAGGATTCTTTCAGTGTTGCCTCCTTTTCTGTGATATC